ATATTTTAAAATGTCACATATGAAAGCATGCTTAAAGTTACTAATCATCCGAGAGATGCAAATCAAAACAACGAGATACCATCTCACACCTGTCAGAATGGCTATTATCAACAATGACAAGTACTGGGGAGGATGTGCAGAAAAAGGAACCCTCGTGCACTGCTGGTGGGAATGTAGACTGGTGCAGCCACTGTAGAAGACAGTATGGAGTTTCCTCAGAGAGTTAAAAATGGAACTTCCATTTACCTAGTAATCCCACTTCTAGGACTATATCCCAAGAAACCAGTAACACCAATCAGAAAGGATATAGGCACCCCTTTGTTCATAGCAGCACAATTTACCATAGCTAAGATTTGGAAGCAGCCTAAGTGCCCATCAGCAGATGAATGGATTAAAAAACTGTGGTACATCTACACAATGGAATACTATGCTGCTATAAAAAAGAAGGAACTTTTAACATTTGCAACAACATGGGTGGAACTGGAGAGCATTATGCTAAGTGAAATAAGCCAGTCGGAGAAAGATAAATACCACATGATCTCACTCATATGTGGTATCTAATGATCAACATAATTTGATGAACAAGAATAGATCGATCTAGAGACAAATGGTAGAGGAGGGCGGTTAGAGAGCAACCAAAGGACTTGTATGCATGCATATTAGCATAACCAGTGGACACAGACACTGGGGCGGTGAGGGCTTGCCCGGGGTGGGAATGGCTGGGGGGCAGGGGTCAATTGGGGAAAAAAGGAGACATATGTAAAACTTTAGACAATAAAAAAAAATTTAAAAATATGTCGACCAGCTGTTTTCCCTTTCCATAGGGAACCAAGCAAAGACAAGGGGCCTGAACTTCCTCAAGCATGGACATGAAGAAATGCCTCCTTCCTACAGGGTTATTATTTCTCAAGGAGGATGCCAAATCTCCATCTCGAGAATTGGAAAAGTTTAGAAACCACAGATCTCAGAAGATGGTTGGAGTGTAGTTCTGATCTTTTGATTGTTACGAGCTGAAACTTGCACTTTTCATTAATTATTTTAAATGAGTTCCCTGTGGTGTCCATATGCTTTCTGACTGCCTCACTGAGAATCAGGTTGTGCTGTCTGCGCTCCCGCAGGGCCTCTCCTTACGGGGAACATTTTTTCACAGATATTATTCTTCAAAGTCTTAGAAGCCTATATCAGGCTGAAAAACAGAGCATCCTTTTACACATCTTGTTTCCGAATCTTGAGAGAGCATTCGCTTGTATTTCCTAAGTTCAGCTTTCTTGTCTACTCATCATATTAGCCTAGCACTGCAGCTGGAAGGCTCCAAGACAATACATTTTAAGTAGCCTCTATTTGTTCTTTGGATTCGACATGAGTGAGATAATGTGATACTTATCTTTCTCTGACTGGCTTATTGCGCTTAGCATAATACCCTCTAGGTCTCGATCATATGTGGAATCTGAAGAACAAAATAAACTGATGATAACAAAATATATCCAAAGACATAGAAACATGGGGCAAGACTACAGAATCTCAGATGGGTGGGAAGAGATTAACCAAAGAATTTATATGCAAATATGCATAACCAATGGGCACAGACAATAGTGAGGGGAAGACCTGGGGTGGGGGTAGGGGCGGGCTAGAAGGGGGCAATGGGGAAAAAGGGGGACATCTGTAATACTTTCAACAATAAATTTAAAAAATGAATAGCCTTTTATTTGTAGTGTTTTAAATGAAAGGAACAAAACCAGATGGGCAGAGACTCTGCTCTAAGGCAGCCTTATGATTGTCTCTTTCTCGGGTATGTTTGAAAATTAAGATTATGTGGCGGGAAGGCTTCCCATCCGTAGCAACTCATAATACATCTTCATGGCATTCTGACTTGAGAAAAGTGACAAAATAAAAATATTCTTTTAATGTATCCCAGCGTGTTGGCTGTCCCTTCCGAGAGCACTGATGAGCAGCTGAGCTATAAATCTTACCAGTCAAACCACACCTCATTTCACTGCAACCCAGAAGGCAAACACGTGAGGCTTTCATTTCTACTTTACTTTTCTAATCGATTGAGTTTCAAAGGGAGGGATGCGGAAGTGGACAATGGCTGTGGACTTACTCTCAGAGAGCGATGGGGGCTCTGGAGTTTGGGGACACGCCTCCTCTGGCTCTTCCCTAAAGTATTTCTCAGGGTCCAGAAGAAAAGCTGGTTTGTTCACTTCCGGTAGCTCTTTCAGGACTCCGATGCTTAATGACCTAAATACGCCTTCACAACAGCAGGTGTTGGGGGGAAGATAGAAATAAAAGTCCAATATTTAATTCCTCAGAAGGAGCCAGCACATTTCCAAGTTAATTTTTTTTAAATTTAACCTTCCTGTTACTCAGCTGGTTCAGCTGCAGTCATCAGCAAACCCTATAAGCACAGCTGTTCACAATAAATCCATGGTCCTTTCATGCAAAGGAATCAAAAGCAACCCAAAGCTCCCCATTCATTTTTTTTTCGACTCTTTTGCTATTTTCCCTTGAAAATTAGTATTCTGCAGTTTTAGAAAAGCTTCAGTTTCTCTTTTATCTATAAGAAAATTGTAGTCTTTGTGACAGGAAATCTGTTTTTTAAGCATTTAGTTTAACAACATCTCTAAATGTTTGAATTTGCAGGTACTTTCTCATTTTACTAACATGTAAACCAGAGCTGTGTTGTTGTATATATGATGCATACAATGAGATGATGGAAAGGAAACCTCTTTTGATCACACACCCGTAAAAGCATAGTCTTGGACAATGAAAACATTTTCTCTTTGCTTCATAGGATAAATGGACAATAGATTGGAAGCCTACAAACCTTAATTCAGGATGTGATTGTACGTTTGATAGTTAACTCTGCAGAGATGGGAACTGCGCTTTGGTCATTGTGATGGCTCAGGATCTAGGAAAAGTGAACTGATAGACTCAGCACCTGCTATGGGACAGGTCCTGTGCTGTCAGTGGTTCTCAAACTTTGCCAGGCTTCAGACTCACTTGGAGGAATTGTTAAAGCATAAGCTAACGACTATACACTACTTTGGTTCTTATTTAGTAGGGTGGGGTGGGAACTTACATTTCTAAGTTCCAGGTGGTGTTGATGCCATTAGGCTAGAGAACAACGTTTGAGAAGCAGTGTGTTATGTCAAACCAAAGGAGAAATCTCCACAACCTGTAAAATGCCATTATGCCCTGCTGACAGATAAGGACATAGAGGTGGGGCTCAAGATGTTTTAATAACTTGCCCGAATTTACATAGCTAGTAAACATAGACCTTGGGCTTAAGCTCAAGTATCTTTCACTCCAAAGGTTGTGCTCCAAGGTATAATAATAACAATAATAACATCTATACTAATAAAAGGGTAATATGCTAATTAGACCGGGTCGACCGGACATATTCCGGACGTCCGACTTCCTTCCGGTCAAAGCCACGGTGGCAGGGGCTGAGGCAGAGGCAGTTAGGGGTGATCAGGCCAACAGGGGAGCAAGCAGTTAGGGGCGATCAGGCCACTGGGGGAACAAGCAGTTAGGGGTGAGATCAGACAGGTGGGGGGAAGGAAGCAGTTAGGTGGCAATCAGGCCAGCAAGGGAGGGCAGTTGGGGGTGATCAGGCCAGCAGGGAAGGGCAGTTGGGAGCAATCAGGCAGGCAGGCAGGCAAGCAGTTAGGAGCCAGCGTTCCCGGGTTGTGAGAAGGACATCCGACTGCCAGTTTAAACCAGCAGTCGAACATCCCCCAAGGGGTCCCAGATTGGAGAGGGTGCAGGCCGGGCTGAGGGACACTCCCCCCACCCCCCATGCATGAATTTCATGCATTGGGCCTCTAGTTGCTAATAAAATTGCATTGAGTTTCTATAATATGTCAGGCACTATTCTAAGTGCTTTACATGTAATATCTCTTGTAATCCTGACAAAAATCCTATGGAGTAGATCAGTTTATAAATGTGCATTGAATATTAACAAATAAGGATGTACCTTTTGACAGCAAAATTTCAACTCAAATTCTAAAATTAAAATATCTGTTCTCTGAAAGTGCAGCTTTCCCATGGACATAGTTGAAAAAAGATTCATACTATGTGAAATAGTCTCATCATATGATGGAACCTCAGGACTGATTCTCCCTATGCTTTTTTTAAATTGAATTTATTGGGATGAGAATGGTTAATAAAGTTGTACAGGTTTCAGGTATACAATTCTACAATGCATCATCTGAACACTGTATTGTGTGCTTATCACTCCAAGTCAAGTCTCCTTTCACCACCATTTATCCCCCCTTTACCTTCTTCTACATCCCCCAACCCCTCTTCCCTCTGGCAATCACCACACAGTTAAATAATACACTTGAGTATAATAATGGTTCCTTTGTTTCAATTACTTTTTTATAATTATGTTTCTAGTCAGCCAATAACTAAATGAATGCATCATTCTGGGTGGCTATGGGCTTCCTAAGAGCAAAATTTGTTTTTATTCATTTTCATCTCTAAACACTTTGGGGAAAGAATTAACATTCTGTGCCAATGCTATTTTGGGAACTATAGTGGGCAGGTTACATGTGCTTTCTGGCTTAGATCTTACATGTCCGTCGCTTGTACATTGTGCAGCCTTGGACAAGTCACTTAATGTCTCTGAGCCTCACTTTCCTCCTTTGTTAAGTGGGGTCTCAGGACCTTCCTTTCAAGTTTATTAAGGAACACCAATATTCCTGGCACACACAGTAGCTATTTGTTATTCATATCAATCAGTAAAATAATAACACTGTAAATATATATCAGTGGTAATTACTTACTGGATGATTTTTGTAGAACTTCACTGCTGTAAAGGTTATGTGTTTTTTTCTTATATATATTTCTTTCCTTATATTTTATAGCTAAATTTATAACTTCTGATGATCCGACACTGGAAGAGAATAATTCATGGTGAAATAAAATTAACCACAAAGGATGAACAGACACTCTCTGGCTATAAATACTGTATATCTGTTACTTTGACCAAAAAAAAACAAACAAAAAAAACCCTCTATCCTGTGGACCTAAATAGTGACATTTGTTTATACCAAACAAGCCAAATCTTTGAATAAAATGCCTGCTGGCCATGTGATAATATAAAATGGTAAGAGCTAGAGAGGCTGAGAGGCTAAAGAAAAGCTCCTGTACTCATAACAAGTGGTAGGTCAGAGAAAAAGCTATGCAGAAGAAAATTTTATAGAAACACACACAATGTGCCAATTATGCGGGGTAATCAGTGAGATGTGTCAAAAACTCTTTTATCTGATGTCAGGCTGTATCTTCACTTATGATGTACAAAATTCAGAAAAATTCAGCATTTTTGAGGATTCTCATATGAATCTATAAGAAAATTTTAGCTTAGCTTGAATCCAATGAAAATAGTTTTATCAATAAAACATAGAGTGAAATCATTATATAGTTGTATATAATTCCAGGCAGAAAATGAGAAATGATCTCAAACATATTTCACACTCACTGTCATAGACCCCAAACTTAATGACTACACATTTCATTGCCAAAAGTCTGACTCCTTAGTTTATTCTGCACTATGGCAGTTTATCAGACTTTCCTTGTTTTTCATGTCTTTGGAAGTTTCGATGAATACTTGTCAGATTTTTTTGTAGGATGTCCCTTAATTTGGATTTGCCTGATGTTTTTCTTATGGTTAGATGGGAATTATGGGTTGTTGGGAGGAAGTCAACAGAGATGAATCCATTTTCTCACCACATCTTATCAAGGGGACACGCTGTCAACCTGACTCACTGCTTTGGATGTTAATTTCCTCACCTGGCCAAGGTTGTGTTGGCCAAGTTTCTGCACTTCCTTTTAAAAGTTATATTTTCCCTTCCTTTCTATACACTTCTCTCTGGAAGCAAATTTCTAAGTACAGCCCACACGTAAAGGGGGATGAGGAGGGGAACTCTACTGCCTTGATTGGGGTAGTATCTACATAAACTTTTTGGAATTATAGATTTTCCTTTTCTTTAGGAAATCTTAGCCTTCCAAAAGACGGAGGTCAGGTGGCAGTTTTTCCCCAGATTACACTGGAATGGCCTCCCTCACAACACGGATCTCCTATGAAGAGGGACATAATCGTTTAACCACTATCTGGGCTTTGAAGACATGAACAACGGTACATTAGAGTCATTTGAAGATGGTAGGAGAATCTGTAACAATGAGAAGTTGGTGTCAGATACAAGAAGGACAGAGTATGGTGCTGTTAGGCCTTATAGTTATTAAGTTGAGAATTTTTTTCCAGAAAAGTATTATTGAAATAAATTGAGGTACAAAAGATTGAGGCAGGCCTAGAAGTAGTGGGGTCTATCTTTGGACTAGTTAATACCAGGCCTTGATTTCCCCCTAAACATCCTGAACTGTTTCCTGCTTTTAGACTACTTGCTTTCTCACCCAGTGGTATTCAAATCAAACATCTTTTGTATAAAACAACAGACTTTGACTATCTCTACTAAAGAGTTTAAGCCACAGAGGGAGAGAAGTGGGCAGAAGGTATGAGCGAATCTCCTAGAAACTGCAACAGATTTCACTCCTTAGATGAAAGTCTAGGAAATGGAGCTGTATTGACAAAGCTCCAAAGCAAAGAGCAGTTCTGTGAACAACCAGACCACGGATTTAACTTCATATTCAGAGGCCAGCCTAGTGCTTCTTTTCCAAAGACATCTGACATTTGAGAGAATGGTTACTGTGAAAATGTACAGGAAACTAGAAAGAGGTGAATATTCCTAAAAGTCCAATATTCCTAATGGATGAAGACAAAAAAGCAGAAAAACGCAATAAAGAGTTTTGAGTTTAAAACTTTTGCAAACATGTCTTACATGGTGGTGCAAGAAAGTGGGTCTACTATGGGCTCTGGTAGTCTTGCCATCAATTTTATGAGAAGGAAAGGCTCTAAATGACCAGCCATCCCTCGGTCTTGGATGTAAAGGGAAGAATGATGTGTGGCAAATCCCCCACTGCCCTTCTATACCTAGAGTAGCACCTTATACATAGCAGGTACTTGGCAAAATATTTGATCACTTGACTAAGAAACCAATAACTTTTCAATATGATGCTTTTTGTACAGACAGTATGGAGTGATGGCACAGAGTACCGACTCTGGAGCCAGAATGCCTTTTGTAGGATGCCTGGTTCACCTCTTGCTGGCTGATTGACACTGGGCGAATCATTTAACCTCCGTGTACCTTGCTTCCCTAGTAGTGAAACAGGGGTCATAATTGTAGCTATCTCTAAGGATTACAGTGACAATTAATTGAGCTAAACACATAAAGACCTAGAACAGTGCCTGGATTATTCTAAGAGTTTAATAAGTATTGGCTATCACATTAAGTAAAAAAAGACAATTCTTTCTACTCAAAGCAGAGAATTCAAATACTCCCTACAGCCAGTTCTAAGACTCCTAGGAACCAGCAGAATGATGAGACAAAAAATAAGGACATACAGCATTTACAGAGATAATAATTTGCTGTACAAGTATTTTTAAGACTTAAATTTCAAAAGTTGAGTAGACTTTCATTTGCTTTCATTTGTCATGCATGTATGTATGATAGTTCTTGCCACAGATTGTTGGTGAAAGGAGACTGTCAGTCCTCCAAGTGTTTTATGTCACATAAGACCTGATTTAAAATTAGATTTTATTGCTTTGTGTATTTTTTCCCTTATAGTTGGCCACAAATTTTCCAATTTAATTTCTCACATAAGACCTACTGGCAGAATAATTAAGTAATCAATAGCATATAAAGAATATTAAATATCAGTTCCCTCATCACTGTATTATAGAATTTAGAACATCATAATTATTTCACATGTCTAAAAACCATTAATTTTAATTATGCCTTCTGCCTATATAAACTTACTGAGATATAAATGGAAATTTCTGTTTCATTTTCTATCTGGTTTTTAAATCCTGGCTTCTTATAATTAACCCTATCCCCATAAGTAACTTTTTTAATGATAGCCAAAAGAAAATTGATAGATAAAAGCAGGCAGAAAAGACTCACTCTTCATTGTTCTAATATAAGAATGAAGATCAATGAAAGAGACCTTACAAATGGACAGATTTGACTTTAGCATCAGAGCCATTCTATAATAATAAAAGCGTAATATGCTCATTAGACCAGACATCCTTCCTGATGTCCTTCCAGACGACCTTCCGGATGAAGCCCTGGCTGTGAGGGTCAAGGCAAGCCACCGTGGCTGTGAGGGCTGAACCCCTTGCATGAATTTCATGCATCAGGCCTCTAGTTCTATAATAAAGAGTGATTCAATAACAGAGATGGCGACTGTGAGATGGTGAGCACATCCCATAGCAATTATTCAAGAGGAGGCTGGGGATATGCTTTTCTTAAGGCTGTCACAGGAGTTAGTTTCATGGACTTCTACTATCTCAACTTCGCTATTGAATTATTGAAGGTTAATATGCATGTGAAAAAATGTTCACTTCTACAAACAATTAAAATATGCAATTTAAAACAATAATGAAAGATCATGGCAACAGTTTTAAGACAATGACAATAGTCAGTGTTGGTTCAGAAGGCAGCCATTCTCATATACGCTGGAGAGAGAGCCCATGTGTAGGGGTAGCATTTTAGCAAGATGACCCAAGGGCCTTTAACACTTTTCACTCAGCAACTCCACCTCAAAGAATTTATTCTAATGTTGAATTCAGCTCATTGCTCTAACAATTGCATATGAATGTATTTAAAGAAATGTTTTCCCAGTTAAAATTTATAAAGTCTACATGTTTGAAAAGAAGAGAATGGTTAAAAAGCCACATGATACATTTCTAGGGAGTCATTAATGAATATTGGTGTCTGTGGACACACATATTAAAAATACAGGAATAAACTTGCTGTATATTTTTGAGCGATAACACAGGTTATAAATTATGTATACTAAATCATCATTTTTATACACTGCACATTTATTTATTAGCATAAGTATGCCCAGAACAAGCCAGGAGAGTGAAAATTCCTAAGTCTTAGCAATGGCTTTGCTATAGGTGATTTCTCTTTATCTTCTTCTCCTTGCTTATTTGTACTTGCAAATTTTCCCTAATGAACATGTATTATTTTTATATTAAAAATATCCTAAGGTTATATTTTCTAAATTATTTTGTGTGTATTTTTCTAGATTAATTTTCTGTGAATTCAGAAACCAAATATTGCCATAAACGAAGAAAAATGCATGTCCACTGTAGTTTTTGCTGCCTATTTTATACTTTAATTTATTTCTTCCTCTTTTTTTCATTTTCTAATGGTAATTTTTGTAGAACCTAAGAGAGGGCAAAATCTATTTCTCTGTATCAATTGTTAACTTAGCATTAGGACTTCCTTATTCTCTGAAATTCTATATTCATCTTCATTTCCCCAGGGCTTAAATGGAAAATGACATTTAAACACCTACGTACTTCTCAGACATAATATTATAAAATGCCTTCAGCACTTTGGGAAACTGGTATGCATGTATAAACCAGAAGAAAACCTATGCCAAGGTTTTTATCCTGGGGAAAAAATCTTAGGTGTTAAAATGAGAACACAGTTTTAAATTTTTAAATTGTTTTCTTCATTTTGCCTGCTTCTCCCATTTTTATTGGCTTTTTCTTTTTGCTTCTCCATCTTTCTTACTGTTTAACTCCTCCATTAAACATACCCCTGCCTGCATACACATATACAGAAAGTATTTTCCCCCTCTCATCTCTTTAAATTCCTTTACATATTTTTTTTTCATATTTTTGCATATGGACAAGAACTGGTATGATTCTCTCCTTGGATTTAATCTGATTAGGAAAACAGCACATTCTTTAGAATAATCTTTTCTTAAGGAGAAAATAGTCTCTTCAATATTGGACAGAGGCCATGAAAAACATTTTACGGCTGACCATGACTTTGCACCTGTATGTTTTCCACACAAACCTCCTGCGAGAGGTAAGAAGTGACATGACAGTCACTTCTGAAGATACATTTTTTTACCTTTTTCTCTCAATTTGTTTAATAATTCTTAAATGACATTATCCTATACTATTTCATTAATGCAAAGTCTTAAAATCATTTCAATCCAGTCTTCTAACTTAGGTAAAGGCATACATTTCAAAGATCACAGGTATTTTTCGGTGCATTGTCATTTGACAAGATATAGTACAATAGAGATAACTTTGCTTCTTACTGCTGGAAATTTCTCCCAAGGCCTACAGAAACTTACAACCAAGATGAGAAAAATCACTCTGCTGCACACCTATCTACTCTGGCAGAATACAAAGCTCTAGATTTAAGACAAATCTGTGAATTTAGAAACCTATGTATCAGCACTAATTTTCATAACACAAAGTGTCATGCAACAATAGTAAATGTAATAAGATGAGATAGAAGTCAAGAAAGAAGTAAATAGTTCAAATTGCTATCTTTTAATTCTAGGGAAAGGCTTATTTAAAAAATAATAATAACAGTCTGTCACAAGAAAGGGAAAATTAATATATTGGCTGAAATACTCTTAAACAGGAATCTATAACAATTGCCTTTATTCTTTTAGGAGTGTGACAGGAAGAGAAACAATGATCTATCTGTGTGATCCTGGGTAACTTTATTTCCTGATCTATAACATTGCGTTGGATAGCTGGGTGGGGACATTTTGTCATATTGAAAGTCTTTCCATTCCCAGAATTCTATTAGTGTACAGGATTGGTCAAGCTATATTTCTCAATTGAAAAGATCATTCTGCTTGAAAGTTAAATGCCACTTGACATTTCAGTACTCTATAATTCAAAGAAATAGAAGAACAAATACCAAAATGTAATTTAGTGCAACAGAAACTTTTAAAGGGGCTTTTTTCCCCCTTCTATTTACCTGTCAGCAGAGGTCCAAAAGGTCTGAAAGCAAAATAATTAATTAAGAAGTAAAACCTGTCCCCATATTCCTGAAGTAGCTCCAAAACCAACCTGGTGAAACCCAGGCCAACCACCTTTCTAGGATATAAACAGACCCAATATGCAATAACCTAAGAGAGGAGAGGAGGCGTTGGTGTTCACTGAGGCCCACTCCAGAGAGAGTGGAGGGAAGCTTCCCCTTCACTTCAAGCCTGCATTCATACAGATCAAAGAGTTTAATGTGTGCTGTCTGCGGAAAACATGAGAGGAACACAGGCTCATTAATGCTGGCAAAAGTCTACAGGCAAAAAGCTATGGCTGGAGCTACCCAGGTGAGTAAGGTTAGAGGGGACAACCAGGGAGCAGTTGGTGTGGCAAGGATGAGTCAGCTTCCTATTGGCCAAGCAGAAGTTAACCCTAGAGGAGTTGTGTGAGAGGGAAGGCCTGCCAAAGCAGGTACACTGCAACAGAAAAACACCGTGATGTGTATTTCCCAAAGTAACCCCAACTGAGGGCTGGGAGGGGTAGAGCCACAGGAGACTGGCCAAAGATGCATTGATTTGTAAATGTGCAATGCTGAGGTCTCTGAGTGGGGTCCTCAAAGAAGCCACAACGGTACCCCCTTAATTATGGACTTAAATTAATAATAAAGTATCAATATTGATTCATCAATTCTAACAAATGGACCACATTAATGCAAGACACTGGGTGGGGTAAGGTGGGGTATGTAGAAATTCTGTATTTTGTGTGCAATTTTTCTACACTCCTATATGTGTATGGTAAAAAAAATTCATATTAAAGAAAATACAATGAATAAAAGCATCCTTTCAAAAAATAATAGTTGTTTAGTGTGAACAGTAAAATTAAAAGAGCATGGGTTAGCAAGACTATAGGAAACAAAAGAAATAACTGAAGCTGCCTGGCATGAGAGAGAAAGAGGAATGTAATAATGGGATCTAGCAGAGTGGTGCAAAGAGAAGAAAAGGCTGAACAGCATGAAGGAAAGGCCAGAAGCATTCAAAGGAGAGTCATGTCTAATAATCAAAGTTGATCTCTTACAAGTTCTGTCATACAAGCTTCTGTGAAAATTACCAAAACCAGGAGTAAAATCTGACATACATTCTGAGACAGATGCATACATGCATACACACACACATTGTTTTTTAGGAAAGAGGCAAGTTTCCACATTGAGATTGTTGATAGAGCAGAAGCAAAGGACTGGAAGACACTGAATAGAAATCAAGAATTCAATGGAGGCAAGAAATCAGAACCACATATAACCCTGAGGACATACATTCTCTCCCTGCCACACACAAACCTATCAATCCCCCCAATTTTAGAAAAATCTCAAGGTCATCATTGGACATTGCACATAGTACATGAGGAGTTTGGGCCAATCTTACCTAAGTCTTATCTAGACGCCAGTTGACATCTTGGTAACACTTAAAATTACTTACTTGTATGTTGGCTCATCTTTGTCTTTTTTATCAAGTAGAGAATGTTCTGTTGGGTCTAAGCATGATTCCTTGTTAGAAAGTGAAGCAGTTTCCCTTATACTTTCTTCTTGAATCTCACTTTCCATTAAATTATTATCCTTCTTAGGGAAAGAAAAACAGCTTTCAATTTGCCAATGCTTTGCCTATAAAAAACAAAGAGATTTATTTTTTTTATGATTTTTTTCCTTGAACATTCATATGCTACACTCTGAATTAAAGTTGGGGACACACACAATAAAAGAGTAAGACATGGTTTCTGTTCTCCAGAAACTTATAGTCTTATACGGGAGGATAAGACACATACATGTAACTTTAATAAAGGTAGAAAGTGAGTCATAGAAACAGAAATTCCCTGAAAAGATAATAATGAAGTACAAAAAATTGACATTCTTTCTTTAAAATCCTGAATAGTAAGATGAATATTTACTAAAAAGAAAAACAAAGAAAGTTTTTGTTGAAGAATTGTCAGAGTTAATTTTTGATACAACTACTTTTTTTTTCATCTTATTTCCTAAAATATTGAGCATCCCTCACCCCAAAATATCTATAATAATAAAAGTGTAATATGCTAATTAGACCAGACATCCTTCCAAAGACCTTCCAGATGAAGCTGGGGCTGCAAGGGCCGAGGCAAGCTTTCCTCTGTGAGGGAAGCCTGGGTCCGGGTGCCAGAGGGAAGCCAGTGCCAGCAGCCGGGGGAAGGAAGGCCTCCTCTTGCACGAATTTCGTGCATTGGGCCTCTATTATGTTATATAATAGTTTTCACAGATCTTGACTATAATTCTTAATATGTATCCATATACCCAAATGACAATACCAATGACAATCTATTTTATATTTTAAATATAGAATCCATTTCCTTGTCTTCTATCAATTCACATTGTAGACACAGGAATGCACCGGAGAACATAGCCAGAGTGATAGAAAGGTAACATCAGGCATCCCTAGGATGTCTGAGTGACCTACAAACTGATAACCTTGCCAAAAGGGCATGCAAAGTGAAATGCTGACAAAGGCCAGGAGGATAATGACAATGAATGAACCAAGGCTCATCTAAGATGATCAGCGGCAAATGAGATTCGGCCTTACTGGATTAGAGAGAATCCATTTTACAGTTTCTCTCAGGGAATGACATGTTCTTTTTCAAGAGAAGCAAGAAATCTGGATCTTATATGAAATCTTTTTATTTTTAAATGAGGGCAACTAAATCAAATTTTAAACACTGGGTGGGCGAAGAGGAACAAAGTCACTGGCCCCCAGAGGAGGAGGAGAAGTGCCAATAAAATAATTCCACCCAATCCAACTGTGGTGAGCGCTAAAGGAAAGGCACTGAAGGACTGCACAGTGTCTAATTTCTTTTTATACCACAATCACCTGACAGTTTCCTGGGATAAATGTATCTCTATGGCTAAATCATCTCCACTCCCATTTCTCCAGCTCTATAAATAGACATACAAAACCACTTACTTTTACAAATCTAACTTGAAAAGCAATCTCCGATCAATACTATGTTGTAAAAGTGATTCACAGTGATTAAAAACACTTCTTTCATGAAATATGTAGAATCACATTGCATTAAATTTTAAACACTTTAATCAGACTGTATGTGATTTGAAAATTAAGTTTTAACATGGGAAATTAAAATATATTAATGCTTTCCTCCTGTTTTATAACTGCTAACCCAGAATTGATTCAGCTAAAAGACAAATGTGTCATTCAAATGTAGGGCAAAAAGGCACTATGCTTTCCAAATCAAGTTTGTTCAGTAAAAATTGCTCTGATCCTAGTTATATTTACTAAATGGCTCTCCTTATCTACATGTTTTCATCTAACTCCCCTATCTTACTGTAAAAGGGTGTCTCTTTTTTACACACTTGAAGGACATTCACTGTTACTATTCTCCAGTATCTGCTATTTTTCTGTTTCCATCCTTCCTCCCTCCCTTCCCCTTTCCTGCATTAGGGACTAGCAGCACCCTTATTCAAGACAGTTTGATTTTTTTTAAAGGCCTTAACAACATCTTTAACAGCTCAAGCAAAAGGGACTAGAAAATACAGCTGTCCCTGCTTTGCCAGACTTTACTTTGTAAAACTACACCGACTCTTTTTCTGTCTTCAACAGCAGGAAAAAACACAAACAATTTTCATGCAGGGTTTTGGGGGCTGATGTCCTTCAAAATACAAAAGACTTTACAAAACAACTAAGGAAAAATATCAAGGCACAAAAATGAACAGTTTACTAGCACATACTTCTTAATTAAAATAAAATTTAGGTACAGACTTTGGTGGGCACAGTTTATGGCACCCACACATAGAACAGTCTTATTCTTGCTTCAACCCCATCTGGGAGACTTATATTCCGGATGTCACCTGTTTGATGATGCTTTGATTACCTGTCATTCTAACCTCACCTCAGCTCATGTGAACCCATGTGGCCTGTCCGTACAGCAATGTTGGCATTGCATTAACTTCTCAACTGCCCAAAACAGCTTTCCACCTCATGTGTGTTCAGAATGCCAGCGTGCCCCACTCTGTCTCACTCACTACACACCTACGCACACTCGTTTGATTCCCACTCAGATGCTGTTCTCCCTGAGAAAGTCCAGCACCTGCCTCATTTGCAGAGCAGGAGAGACGGTGCAACTCTGGAGCATTACACTGAGACGCCCAGGGTACCCGGCCAACCGTGGGTCCACCTCCCCAGATTAATTTCTAACTTACCCTCACCCTTCACGTCCTGAAAGGTTGTACAGAATTCTTTCCACACAGGTTGACATCATCAAACTGACTTCACACATAGAGCAACAACAGACTTTGTCTTCCAAAACGAAGAGAACTGCTTTGTACTCTCACGGCATGAGAATGGCACCCGAGGTGGCCGAATGGAACCAAGCCAACCAGCCAGACAGAAATGAAAGTATCTCTGTAACCTCACACACCATGTTCGAACAGTCCTGGTTGAAACAGATCAAACCAAGACTTTGTTCCCCAGAGCGCAAAAGGAACAGGAGCAGAGGTCCCATAAAAACAAACAGAATAAAGAACTGAAAGGTGAGAAGATGAATAGTTCCTTTCATCCATTCCCCACTTCGGTATTTTCCCCTCTACACATGAGAGCTTACTTTCATGGGAGCACAGGGTTAAAAGCATGAACTCTGATATAGCCAGCTTGAGTTAAAAGCAAAACTCTACTATTTATTCACTTCTGTGAGCTCTGTACCTTTGTTTTCTCACCTATAAAATAGTACTAATGAAAGTTCTTCCATAATGGATGGGCAATTGTGAAGATTAGATTAGATTATTCATATTGAGACCTAGAACAGTGCCCCAGGAATACAGGAAAAACTCAAAAAATGTTAGCTATTATTATTTTCACAAGAGTAAACCAGATGATGAAGAGCAAGGTTTGGTTTTTCTAAAATGTTCTTTTTGATTATTACCTTGATTATTACTTGACAGTCAGAGTCATCTGTTTCGTATAACATGCTAATATTCTCCACATTGTATTTTACTCAATTTTGAAATGGAAAGAATCCACTTATTTTAGAGGAGAATTTTTTTTCTCAAAAATCCTGGAATACGTTTTAGCTGCACAGAGCATCTTTCCCTGTCTCTGGTGTCCTCACTTGATGG